TCATGTATGGAGCCATCTGACAATCAAACAGGATATGGTTTAGCTGACGCTGCTCTTCTCAAGTGGTCTACACTATTTATAGAGCGAGTACAACTCGAAACCTTAAGTCAGGAAAATCAACTTAAGGTGTCAAAAGCACGTTCTGTTGAGATCCAAAAAGAAGATCCTGATAATTTTGATTGACTATGTAAAAGACTACAACGTGAGATTTCTCAAATGTGCCATAGGTTAGCCCGCGATATGCAACTATATATAGTTAAGAAGGATGCCCAGAAGAACAGAACACAACCAAATGTTGTGGCTATCAAGGGTATCATAGAGGATCCTGCACTTGTCTCTGACCCTGAGCTTTCGGATTATTCAGACTCTGAGATTGCCGATTTAAGCACGAATTAGGTGTTTATGTCTGTACTAGAGTATATTAGGTTATGAATAATTATGTAATGTGTGTGTTAGACTAAGTGTTTCCGTAATGAGTTTGTCATATTTTCTGCCTAATATTTGTCTATCTAAGTGTTATGTTTATGTATTGTGTGTTCAGTTCAGGATGTCCAAAATGTATTTTGGTGGGAGACTTATGTCTGTACTACCTATGTAATTGAAAACTGTTACATTTGCATCTTTACTTATGTTGTTTTCATGCTTGCGAGTATTTACTAAATTAGTGACTTTGTATATTATGTATTGAGTTTTATTACAAAAATGTTCACAAAATTTATTTTAGGGGAAATACACGTTCTCTTCGCTTGTTAATCTTTTCAACCATGACAACCCAAAAAAGCAACCATTATTCATTGAATATAACAAAGAACGTTCTCATTCTTAAAAAAAAATATATACTACCAATTGAATAAAAACAAATAACCTTTCTATTCATTCATTGCACAACATCAGTCTTATGAAATAAGCGAAACCAATTGAATCACAATAACATGAACTCCAACCCAATATTTCCATTACATAAATTCATGTCCATAATCATACACCAAATTACATACAAGTTACATTACATAGCAAAAAACGAAAAAAGTACCATTCGTATGTACCAAATACATCACCAAAATTTCATAATTCCCGTTAGAACAAAAGTAACCATAACGCCAAGGGAAAAGAAAAAATAGTACGCTACAATGGGCCCATAAGATTTTTTGTAGCCTAATACCATTGAAATTGGCACGTGTAGTTTACTAAGGCCAAGTTTGGGAATTAACTTTTTAACTTTTTGAGTAACTTTTTGACTTTTTGACTTTTTTTGAAGTCCCCAAACTTGGCCTAAATGTTCATCTTCGTTACCATCCACTTCATCAACTGCACTTCCAAATTGTGTTTCCCTGGGCTGAATGTGTACGCATCTGTTCCTATAATTAATCCATTCATTGTGCGCCTCATTAAACGAGTTATACCTTTGGAATAAAGCCCCAGCAAATCAGTTAACTTGTTGGCTGCATTCTGCCCAGGTTGTGTAAATTCCTGGTGCCCTCCCCACAAACGCAACGTAGTAAGCTGCCATTTCCTACGACAATACGTAACATTTATCGCTGTTATCCGCATGAAAGTATAATAATTTTTACAGTAGACAATTTCCATATGCGAAGCATCATACATCATAAAAAAATTGCATTCTAACAATATATCTCCAACAATTACAACAAACTCATGCATCAATTTGAAAACTAGTTACATTGGGAAAACTTAAAAAGTTAAATTATAGCTATTTCCATGCCTTGCATTCTTCTAAAAGACATGGAGTTCACATTTTGGACTTCCCTACACACAACATTTACCAACTTTCCATCTTTCCAAACATTGTAATTTATATTGTCATGTCATAACCAAAATAAAAAACAATGCATCCAATAATAAGTTTAACTCAATTACAGGTAAAACTTCCAATATATTAAGTTTAACTCAATTACAGAAGAAGCTTTCAAATGAACATAAACCTGACAAAAAAACAAATTTATTTGGTTATCAGTTTTGAAAACAATTTTCAATTGTATTTTGACTTTTCAGTAGTCTTCTAAAATAATTTTAAATTTTTTTTCCAATATTTATAATTTTTCTTAATTTTCTTATTCCAATTCCTACATTAATGTGGATTACATTTCAGGACAATCTTTTGCCTATTTTTTTAAAAATATAACCAAACTGAAAATTTTGAAATTTCCATTTGAAACATGTTGTCATATTTCAAAAAAGTAAATCCCAATACTTTCAACTATAACTCCAAATTGAACAACTGACAACTCAAAATACAACTCACAACTCTTTTCAAAACTGAATCCTCTATTGGAGATAACAAGTTCAAATACTCTTTTCAAAATAAATTTCAAAACACATTTCAAAAGTTCACCACTAAACCAAACACAAGCCGCATATTTCAATGTAATCATTTTCATTATTCATGACTAACAAATTGTTGATATAAAGAGGGTAAATGTTGTAATCGAAATAATGCACTTTAGTTACGATATAATTGATAATTGAGTGCGTATTATTTCTAAATCTTATAATATTTCAATGTCATTTACACTGTTCAGCCTATCCTTGTGTACTTCCCTACCAACATGAACAACCTAAAAATGACATTAGTCCAAACTGACAACAATCAGCCTATCCATTAAGAACCTAAGTGCTACTCATTGCCAACCAAAAAATAAAAAGGTTCAAATAAGAATAAATTATTATTTTTCTGGGTTTTAGCGCAACACTACAAACTATGGAGTGACAGTTGACTACTTGTTGGCGAAAATATAGCAAAAAATATCCAGTGATACAATATTCAACCAAAACAAACACACTTCGGCCAATATTTACGTCGTGCAGTTTACATTTTATTAAAGTTCCTCAATAGTAGGTTAAAAGAATTAAATATAGAAATATAAATACCTTATAGGGAATGAAAGCAAGCCCACCACAACAAATTTCACAATCCAATCTACTCATGTATACCATTACAATTGTCAAACATACACCGTTACAATTGTGAAGCATACATCATTACAATTGTGAAACACACACCATTACAAATCTCAAAAATGACCTTCATTCAAACTGCCACAATTGCTTAAAAAAATGAAAAGACGTTGAGAATTACATTAACACATAAATTTTGTAAAAACTTATGCAACTTCAATCACATATTACTCCTTCACAACAGGTGGGGGACTAATAAATTTCAGACAGACGAAGTGCCCACAATAAAGGCACACCAAATAGAATGGGCAGCTTCGTCAAAAACCTTCCTTCACTAAGCCTCTCCATCAAGACAACATTAATAGTCACCATTCAATTCCTCGAAGTCCAGTAAGAACGAGGACAGTGATGGGAAGTCAACCAATGGGGGGTTCACAAAAACCAAAAATTGGGGGCTGAAAAAACAATCTCAAAGGCAAGTGGATGGTCCGGTGACACCTCAGTTCTGAGAAGGAATGGGTGCTTCACAAAAATCAGAAATTGGGGGCTGAAATAAAAACGAAATTCGATGGTCCAGTAGGGGGGCCAATACAACATAGAAATATGATAATCTCTCTACTAGACCACAACAAGCATAACACCTATCTTAGTCCAAGACAACCGTTGCTTGGGGTTCAGGGGATGAGGGCCAGGGTACAACTACAATCTCAGACATGACAGCATAAACAATCTGCTATCAATGTCTAGAGTTTCATAAAAAAACTAATTTTGAACTTTAAATTCCCCAATCAAAAATGTAAACGCTAATTTTTCCAAAACAAACCTCAATGTTGATGATGGAAGGGAGAGGTGCGACGATGCTTTGAGGTCTTTCTCTTCTTCCTTTTTGTTACAGCTCTTGCAGTGGCCTTCGTCTTCTTGGCCTCCTCCGCGATGCTCTTCGTGTCTCACCCTTCGTCATTGTTTTTCAAAGTGCAGAGTGTGTGGGTGTCCTTCAGATTGTGGAGCATATATATTACCTTCTAACCCAAAACGAAGACAAATTTTTTTTTTTAATGAAAACAGCTTCACTAAAGGCATATTAGAAAACGGTTTTAGGAAACTCATTTTTTGAATTACTTTATTTATAGCAATTTATATTTATGTTGAAAAATATTGGGAAATAAAATTACTAAAAAACGGTTTTAAAAACTGTTTTCTATAAACTCAAAATTAATTAAACATTGAGTAAAAATGGTTTTTCAAAAATCCTTTTTGTGAAGAAAAATTTTATTATTTTTTTATTCTCCAAAAAAGGCATTGCAGAAAACGGCTTTAGGAAGACCGTTTCATCCTATAATAGGAATAAAATAAAAAAACATACTCTAGAGGGGGACTAAAATTTTGAAAATGTCATAGTCAGGGAAATCCCCCCCCCCCTGTTAACTTGCTAAGATTCACATCTGACAATTCTTTGCTGGTTAACTTGTTGAGATTCACATCTGACAATTTTAATAACTCTTAACAAATACATCAAGAGTTCCATTGGAGTCAATTTTCTAACCTCGACTACTTAAAAACTTAACATCTGACATTGTTTTTTAACTAAGAGCATTTTCAATACTTACTTTTTAAAAATTTTAATAAAAATTTGGATTAAAATTTTCATTTAATATCAAATATTTTAATGTTAATTTTTAATTTTCATCAAACAACCGGTCAATTGAGAGGATGTATAGACAGTCACCTGACTTGTGTAAATTGAGAATGTTCTTTTGGTCAGTTATGGGCAATTTTATAAGTACAAGGACAACTGACTGATCATTCGGTATACTGTGATATTATAACGACTACCTACAATAATAACGGCTACTTACAACAATTTGATGAAACACTAAAGCCTCCTTCAATTTTATAAAAGTTTTAAATTTTTCCTCATTTAATATAGGTTTAATATCATAGCAGTAAAACAATACTTATTTCATCAAATTTAAATTTAATATAAAAAAATATGAAATAGTAAACGTTGAAGGAGCTCTAACAGATTCTGCACCTAAAACGCATTTGGTTAAAATACCGAACACGGATTCATTTCCCGCCTCTCTCGCTCTCTCCAAATATTGGAGTAGTACATAAACACACACATCTCGGTTCGGTTTCTCTCTCTCTCTCTCTCTCTCTCTCTCTAAAATCTCAAAATCTCTCTCTCAATCAAGATGTTATTGTTGCACCTAGTTCAAGCAATCCTACTGAAGAATGCGGTGTCACCGCTTACGAAGATATCGGCGATAGCCAGAGCCATCTGCACAGCGGATGGTATATCTCTGCAAATTTCACCCTCATCTGCTTTCGGAATGGTCATGGCGGTTCTTCGAATCAATTCGTCATGTTTCGAAGACTTTCGCTGCGATGCAAGCGTTGAGGGTGTCGATTCGCTTGACCTCTCTGTTCTCAACTCTATACTCTTTGTTACCAATGATCGAGACTCCATCATTGTCACCGCCTATTTTGATGACGACAAAACCCTCATCTACTTCAACTTCTTGGACAATACTGGTCAGTACATCTCTGTTCTTGTCTCAAAATCCTAATTAATGTGTTCAATTTCATGTTTATGTAATTCATATAATGCATTTATGTTCAATTACCTAGTTTTTTTTAATTGATTCTTGAATATTAGTTAAGATTTGATCATAATACTCATTTTGCATTCAAGAATTTTGCATATATATGTATACACATTCATATATGTTTGATTAAGTTAGTTAGAATTGATACTGGTTTTTGCCCCAAAACCCTACTTACTGTGACTTGTGTGTTCAATTTGTGTTCATATTACTCATATAATGCATTTATGTTCAATTACCTAGTTTTTATTAATTGAATCTTGAATATCTGTTGAGATTTGATCATATTACTTATTTCACATTTGAGAATTTTGATTTGATGTACATATATATATATATATATGTTTGTGTGTGTGTGTGTGTGTGTGTGTGTGTACAGTCTCATATATGTTTAAGTAAGTTGGTTAGAATTGATACTGATCAGCTCTGTTCTTGTCCACAGCACTAATCTGATGTGTTCAATTTCAATTGCTAGTTTTTATTAGTTGATTCTTGAATATCAGTTAACATTTGAATTTCTCAGTTTCACTTTCAAGAATTGTGACTTCATGTGCACACATATATACATTCATACATTGCTTTGATTATGTTGATTAGAATTGATTCTTGAAAATCCCCTTAAATTTTGATGAGATTTAGTCCATTTTCTTGTTTCAGAACCATAATGTGATGTGCCTATTATGGTTGATTGTGTGATTGTTGGTTTCGAATTGGTTCTTGGAAACTTCTCAAAATATGAAAATTTCTCTTTATGTTAAGTAGGATGGATGGCTTGAATATTTCAGTATAAGACTTTTTTTCATTAAACAAAATAAAAAAACAATTATTTTAATCTTTTTAATTGTTGATAGTTTTCTTGACAAATTCATTGATATTTGACGGGAAAATGTATATAAACCAAGAAAAAATGGGTGTTTCTTTTTAATTTATTTATTTTTATTGGGGCTGCACATTCAACTAGAGATTGCAGATTCTTGATGTGTGTTTCACATGAAGATTGCTTTTAAAATGTTCAGATTTTTAATTTTGATGACTGGGCTTCTTTGAAACAGGTTTCAAACTTGATTGCGTTCCAGTCGCTTTGGGGATAAGGACCATAGAGTACAAGGTACCTCACCCTGCTAGTACCCCTGACATTTTGGGCATAAAGGAACCCGAATATGAATATGAAGTCATTGTGGGGATACCATCGGAGAGATTTAGGAGGGTTTTGAGGCACTTGAGGCTTTATGAGGAATACACAGGTAATTATTTATTTATTTTCATGCAGCTATTTGATTGATGTTTTGGTTTAATTTTTAGCCTGTTAAATTGCACAAGTAGAGAACATGATGATGATTTCTTCTTCACCGCAGCTATGTTAAAAGCTGAAATATACTGATATTTTCTTTCTTTCTTTTGATACTAAAAATAAAGATATAGATGCCTAATTTCAAGAGATTAAAAAGAAGAAATGTTGATAGGTGCTGCTGTCCTAGAGCAAATTGAGTGAGGTTTGCTTTTAACTCGATTTGAGAAGGTTCAATCAAGTCAAACTTTTCGAGTCCTCACATCCAGAGATTGAAAAGAAGAAACACTGATAGGCACTAATGTTCCAACGACCCTAGGAGCCACACATGAATTGCTATTTCATGAAAATTAAGAACAACTTCAAAGCTCTGCAGAAAGACCCACCTAGTGAAATGACACATTTTTAAAATTATTATACATAAATGCTCTTTTCAAATACTTATTTAAAGTTTTTATTTTTATTTTTTTGTGCTTATTTTTTTCACTGTTTTTTTTCACTCTTGTGGCCTTGCAGTCGATGTATCTGTAACTGACGGGCGAGTTGTGACATTCTCTTCAGGATCCGAACACCTTGACCTTACTAAAGAGGTAAAAAAATCATCAACTCTTTGTATTTTGCTCTTTTAGGAATGACTTTCATTACATGTCGGCTAATTTTACAAAATTTTGATACAAAATGATGTGTCCTATTCATTTTTTCCCCCTTGCAGAATGGGTGTATTTTCTGGGGTACTGAAGAAAATGACTGGGTTCACTTTCGAATTTTTTTGCATGGCATGAATTCATTCATTGAAGCCTCAGAGAACTCTGCCTTGGTGTGGATGTTCAAGTCCCCTGACTCCCCTGCCATGCTGAACTGCCCGATCGGACCTCTCGGTAACATCAAGTACTACTTCTCCCAAGATGACTACTAGTTTGTTAGTTTCAAATCTCCCCAGTTCAATTTCCCTGTTTGGTTCCTAAGAAAACATCATTTTGTGACTATGCAGAGATGACTAGATATATAAGTAGTTCCCAAACAATCCCCCACCCCCCAAAAGCTGTTCTCTAAGCTGTATGTTTGTACATGACCAATACAGCAAGAATATGGAGAATATTTTGAGCCGTATGTTTTGTAAATTGCCCTGTTTGGGCCGTCAGGAAACTTATCGTTTTGTGATTCTAAAGAGATGATTAGATCTATATAAGTAGTTCCCAAACAACCCCTCACCTCCAAAAGTTGTTCTCTGATTCAATTCTTCAAATATGAATAGTTGCTTGTTCTTTGTATGTACAACTCACTGTGCATGACAATACATCCTTCCCTAAGATTTTTTTTATTTTTTTTGAAAAATTTAATATTCACCCCTAATATTTTTTTAAAAGATATATTAGCGATATTTAGGTTGTTTACTAAGTTATTATTATTATTACTTAAGGATCATGCACAAAGGCCCAATTAGGGATAAACTTTCTCAATTGGTTACCTAAGGTGCATTAATGTTTGATTTTTGAAAAATTATGTGGTAGTGTCCTAAAATAATTTTTAATAATAATTTGTGTGGGTTCCATGAAACCCTTAAAAAAAATAAGAGTCCCATAAATATGATAAAAATTACTTTGTTGTTATGATCAAGTTAATAATATATAGCTATTGATAACAGAAATGACAATAGAAATATTTTATAAAAACATTTTCATGCTTTCACGGAATGGCCTTTCCCTTGTTTAAAAATAACTAATAACATCTTAAAATATTTGTAACAATTGTTTCTGCAGTTTTTTTTTTTTTCAAAATTAAGAATGATAAAATTTGATTTAAGGTTAATTATGTCACAGAAAAATTAAGTGAATTAATTATTTATCTATTGAAAAAGATGAGATTAAAAAATTTAATTACATCCTTTAGTTTTTAATTTTTCATAAGAAAAAAAAAAAAACTTAATTTTAGTTAAAAAAATAAAAGAATTAATTATCTAAAAGTCCTATTTACAAATGTTATGGTAGTTCATGTTCTATTTAAAAAAATTTTGTACTAATAAGTTCTATTTAGTAAACTGAGAATATTATTAATTTTTTTCAATTTTTAAAACTAAGAATATTATCAATTTTGCACAAACGTTTTGCCCTTCTACTTACTGGTTTGTTTCAACTATCCAATAACATTGATAACATTATTAGTTTTTTTCAGTTTTAAAATGAAGAATATTATCATTTTTTTCATTTTTAAAATGTTTTTTTTTTCCAATTTTACATATCAATGTTCCATCATCATGCTCCTTTATACACGCAAAAATTTTAATTTTGCACAAAAAAATAACTCAATTTTTTCAAAAAGAATGTTAGTTTTTTTTAGTTTTTTCAATTTGAAAGTTGATATTTTAAAATTTTGAAAATCAAAATAAATGTCAAATTATCATATTTCATTATAAATAATCATAAATGATAAACAATCATTATTTGAAGGACAATTCCGACTATTAAAAATTTAATGGTATTTAAAAGTCCAAAAAATCTTAAGTAAGACTTAATGGAGTATAGGTTCATAAATTAAAACTTCTGTATAAATATCCCAAAATAAACTATTAAAAAATATAATTAATATTTAAATACTAAAATACCTAACTTTAAAACTTTGCTTTAAATCTGCCTACATCACCATCGTCACCCCCAACTATCAAATTAGTTTTGAAATTGTAAACAAATATAAGAAAATATTTAACTTTTGATTGTTGGTTGGTGGTGGGAGTAGGGTTTGGGGATGGTGGCAAGCAGGCCTCACCCTCACATTTTCGAGGCCTAAAACTGATAATCAACTAATAAATTTTTGGGGCTTTCGCATTTCTTTTTTTCATTGAATGAAAAAACAATTTGAAGTCAAAGGATAAAAGATTTGTGACAAAATCACAAAAAATACTTAGCATTACATTACAAAAATTAATAAGTATCGCTTGATTATCGCTCTTCTTGCATTTTTAGAAGCAAATAAATCAATTATACTTGCATAATCTAGTTTTTTTTACAAAATCATTTTCAATGAATAACAATACTAATTATTTTAAATGGGTTTTTCAATTTTTTAATGGGTTATGAGAGGGTAATTTATATGTAAATTGGGCCGAGCTGGGTAATGGGCCGTTCTTTGGGCACGGTAAGAAGAGCTGGATGAAAAAGGGGCTTAAAGTTAGCCCGGTCCCAGAAAGCCCTATTGTTATCTCGGTCCAGAGAGGCTTGTTGTTATCCCGATCTGGGAGAGATTTGTGGATAGCTCGGTCATCACACTCAGAATTAGCCCGGTCGTGGCATGTTGCGGTTAGCCCGGTCAAAACCTTGTTATTTCTTAGCTCGGTCCAAACACACCATGGTTTGTAGAGGAGAAGCCGAGGAATGGGCCGTTCTTTGGGCACGGTAAGAAGAGCTGGATGAAAAGGGGCTTAAAGTTAGCCCGGTCCCAGAAAGCCCTATTGTTATCTCGGTCCAGAGAGGCTTGTTGTTATCCCGATATGGGAGAGATTTGTGGATAGCTCGGTCATCACACTCAGAATTAGCCCGGTCGTGGCATGTTGCGGTTAGCCCGGTCAAAACCTTGTTATTTCTTAGCTCGGTCCAAACACACCATGGTTTGTAGAGGAGAAGCCGAGGAAGAGTAGTGAATGAAAGAAACCGAAGTGGCTTTAGTTCGGTCTACTCTGCAGCTCAGCATAGCCATGCTTACCTTGGTTATATTGGGATCCGACCATGGTAAAACCATCTCACTTGGTTTAAGCAGTGAGGGGGGTGTTGAAGGATAAGCATGATCTTTCAAGAATGTGACTCCTAAGAGGATTCTACAGAGAGGAGTAAGAGTCCTACTAGGATTGTGCCACACAGAACCTATAAAAGCTCACAACATCACCTATGGAGAGGTAACACAACTTTGATTCTCGAATACACAGAGCTTTTGTCTATTTGTCTATTTTGCTGACTTAGGCATCGGAGAGGTATCCGGCACACACTGATCTTTCAAGAATGTGACTCCTAGGAGGATTCTACAGAGAGAAGTAAGAGTCCTACTAGGATTGTGCCACACAGAACCTATAAAAGCTGACAACATCACCTATGGAGAGGTAACACAACTTTGATTCTCGAATACACAGAGCTTTTGTCTATTTGTCTATTTTGCTGACTTAGGCATCGGAGAGGTATCCGGCACACACCCGCCGGCTAGCTTACGCTTGTGTTTTCAGGGAGTAAAGCGATGTCGTATAGAGGAGCGTGGACTTGATCAACAGGATTATACGAGAAGGTTTATTTCTTTCCCGTACAATTGGCGTCGTCTGTGGGAATTTCAGAAAAAGAACAAAACCTCTTGGTCAAGTTTCCCTCACTAGTTGAATGGCGCACAACGAAGATTTGCCGCAGTCCGCTATTGACGAACAAACCCCAGAGGGGAGTGGAAGGCGCGAGGGATTGCCCTCTATCCCTCCCATGGCGGATTTAGAGCCCCAGCGACAGAATCCCCGGAGGGATACAAGAAGGAGGCGGAACAATAGCCCCCGTCGCTCTCGCTCACAAAGTCTTGAAAGGCAAAGGCGAAGAATCGACCCTCAAGCTTTGGAGGATCACGTAAAAGAGCAAGATGAACTAATAAGGAAGATGGCGGCGGACATGGAGGCCATGAAGCGCCAGATCAAGGGAAAAGGGGTGGCGGCAGGAGAAGGGCGCAAAGGCAATATGCCTCCTCGCCACTCAGAAGATCGTGGTGGGCATACCATGCCATCGCAAGCAGAGAGTAGAAGCCTCAGGACGGACGACACTCAATCAAGGACTTCCAGAACTCGTTACTCCAGGTCTGAGAGAACGAGATCATTGAGGTCTTACACTGAGGAAAGTACCTATCAGCCCTTGCGTACGCACCAGACATCATCTAGGCAAACGGAGTTGCCTAGATCGTCCGACTTACGAACTGTGCTTGAAGAAAGGGCACGAAAGAAGGAGGATGCTAAGGCACGCGACCCGCATAGAGTTTCAGCCCTTCAGCGGTTGGCTCCTCGGACGCATGGAAGCGTCGAGATTGGAATGCCAATACTACACCTTGCTTACGAACCAACAGATAAAGCATTGGCAAGACTACATAGCTCGCCGTTCGTTTCGACGATTGAGAACGCACCATTACCCTCAGGCTTCATCCAGCCTAAATTTACCACGTACGAAGGGAAGACAGACCCTTACATGCACCTAAGCCACTTTCGCCAGGTTATGGCAGTATACCGGCGGAACGAAACTTTGATGTGCATCATATTCCCATCTAACCTTGGCGACCTAGGTCTAACCTGGTTCGAAAGGCTTCCAGAAGGCAGTATAGCCTCCTGGGCGCAATTAGTGGATGCGTTCGTGACAAGATTCAGAACGAACACCAAGACGCCAGTGGAGATTGATCAACTACTCTCCATTGACATGGGCGACAAAGAAACATTGAGGTCCTACAACAGTCGCTACTGGGAGACGTTCAATCAGATAGGGGACTGCCCCACCAATCTCGCCATCGCACAATATAAAAAAGGACTTCCAGTCAGGAATAGATTAAGGGATTCGATTACAATGACTCCGCCCCTCACGATGGAAGCCTTGATGGAAAAAGTGCACCAACATATTCGGGTGGAGGAGGATGGCGCCCGCGCCAAGGCAAAATCGGGTGCGACAGCAACACAAGACAAGAAGACTACGGCGAAAGTCAATACGGTAGAACGTCCAAGCAAGAATGGATGCGGCAGGCGAGACAACGAAGAGGACAGAGATAAAAGATGGTTGAGAGTCCAAACTGCCATTACCACGGTATTCAAGAAACCAATCTACCGGATTCTTAGTGAGATACGCGATGAACCTTTCGTCAAATGGCCAACTAAATTGGGTGAAACACAGAAGGACTACGACGAAAGATCTCGGTGCACCTTCCATAAGGAAAAGGGGCACCGTACTGAAAACTGCACACCATTGAGACAGCATCTAGAGGAGTTGGTGGTAGCTGGTCACCTGGACAAATACATTGAAAGAGGGGTGCAGCCAGCCCCCCAGAATGACAACCACCCAAACGGAATGCCAATCGACGCCCCACCTCAAGGCACGATAAACGTAATACATGGGGTATGCGAACCTGAGCGCGTATGTGAGCTCAGGGGCATGATCAAAAAGGCTGAGCACTTAAGGGAGGTTCTAAGTGCACAACCCACAATCAAGAAAGGAAAAACGGAGGCCACCAATGTCATCTCTTTTTCA